TATTTCCTACATTTCTTATTAAATGAACTTTATTTATATCATAACATGTCAATATTATATAGTTATAGGTGAATAAGAAAAGAAATCACATCAAAAGAGCATATTAACACAAAATGGCCCAAATATGGCCCATATGACTTCTATTCAACACCTTTCATGTCAAATGACCTTTTTATTTCTCATAACATGTCAATGTTGGGTAATATTAGGTGTCTAAGGCTAGAAATCACATCAATATATCATTTCAATAAGTTTAACAACGCATTTTACTCAAAATGGCCCAAATATGGCCTATATGACTTTTATGTAGCCCATTTCCTACATTACTTATGAAATGAACTATTTCTTTCCCTTAACATGTCAGTGAAACCTAGTTTTATGTGTCTAAGCCCTAAAATTGAATCAAAAGAGCATTTTATTAAGGTTTAAGACGCTTTTTACTTAAAATGGCCCGAATATGGCCTATATGATTAATTGAACTTTATTTATCTCATAACATGTCAATATTATCTAGTTACAGGTGTATAAGAAAAGATATCACATCAAAAGAGCATATTAACACAAAATGGCCCAAATGTGGCCCATATGACTTCTATTCAGCTTATTTTCTACCTTTCTTGTAAAATCACCTTTTTAATACTCATAACATGTCAGTGTTGGGTAATATTAGGTTTATAAGGCTAAAAATCACATCAATATATCATTTCAATAAGTTTAACAACGCATTTTACTCAAAATGGCCCAAATATGGCCTATATGACTTTTATGTATCCCATTTCCTACATTACTTATCAAATGAACTATTTATTTCCCTTAACATGTCAATGACACCTAGTTTTATGTGTCTAAGCCCTAAAATATAATCAAAAGAGCATTTTATTAAGGTTTAAGACGCTTTTTACTTAAAATGGCCTAAATATGGCATATATGACTTTACTTTGCCCATTTCCTACATTTCTTATTAAATGAACTTTATTTATCTCATAACATGTCAATATTATCTAGTTATAGGTGTATAAGGAAAGAAATCACATCAAAAGAGCATATTAACACAAAATGGCCCAAATATGGCCCATATGACTTCTATTCAGCTTATTTTCTAACTTTCTTGTCAAATCACCTTTTTAATTCTCATAACATGTCAGTGTTGGGTAATATTAGGTGTATAAGGCTAAAAATTACATCAATATATCATTTCAATAAGTTTAACAACGCATTTTACTCAAAATGGCCCAAATATGGCCTATATGACTTTTATGTAGCCCATTTCCTACATTACTTATCAAATTAACTATTTCTTTCTCTTAAAATGCCAATGACACCTATTTTTATGTGTCTAAGCCCTAAAATTGAATCAAAAGAGCATTTTATTAAGGTTTAAGGCGCTTTTTACTTAAAATGGCCCGAATATTGCCTATATGACTTTACTTTGCCCATTTTCTACATTTCTTATTAAATTAAATTTATTTATCTCATAACATGTCAATATTATCTAATTATAGGTGTGTAAGGAAAGAAATCACATCAAAAGAGCATATTAACACAAAATGGCCCAAATATGGCCCATATGACTTCTATTCCGCCCATTTTCTACCTTTCTCTTCAAATCACCTTTTTAATTCTCATAACATGTCAGTGTTGGGTAATATTAGGATTCTAAGGCTAAAAATCACATCAATATATCATTTTAATAAGTTTAACAACGCATTTTACTCAAAATGGCCCAAATATGGCCTATATGACTTTTATGTAGCCCATTTCCTACATTACTTATCAAATGAACTATTTTTATCTCATCACATACAAATCACAATCAAGTCCATTATCTTGTTGTGCGCACTAGCATATGACAAACAAATCACATCAGTGAAACATGCAAAGGAAATTAGCAAATATTTACTAACATAGATTTTGAAGATAATCACAATATCATGTAAATTACCAACGGTGACTTCCATGTTGGACCCTTTGGAGCACGATAATGTAGCTTCTTCATAACACTGTAGTAAATAAAGTACATTCAAATTTTTTTAGTCGTATGACTACTAAATTAGTTATTATTAGCAATATTCATCACTAGGTAGCTATATATATTTACTTTTGCAATATAGACTTCACGAGCCACTTCTCCGATGATCGAGCTGAATCAAGGTGATAAATTGTGTTATTGGAATTACAAATCACCATGAGGCTCCAATGCTCCCTACATAAGTTCACAATAGACAAGCAAATTAATATTTAGAAGTCAACATATAATGAGGCCAAATCGATTGAATTTGACATGGTTAGACTTACTCTTTATAACATGGGGCGAATATGAACTTGTCTCCCGCACGCGCTGATTCCTTGATACATTGCTCAACATAGTACAACACGTCATGGGGGTTGCCTATGATTCTAGTAGTGGATAACTGCTCGGGGCATAACCACCCAACTTTACAAGGAGAATCAGTTTCAGTTAAGTGCTCCTGTAGAGCTCTGCGTGCATGAACATTGAATAATTAATCACATGTAGGATAATCACCATAAATTTGAATAACTTGAAAAAAAGTGTAGATTATGTGGGCATTGAAGTACCTCATGAATGTTAGAATGAGGGAAACGTTAAGGTTTGCACCACGTAGAAATTCCTTCACATCTTCTTTGTTGATCCATGCAACTGCGTCCTCATCATAGTGGAACATTGCCTTAGGAAGTGAAAATTCCATGCGATCGACCAAATGACAAGCACGTTTGTGAAGAAAGGTCATGTCAGCAGAGAGCGATTGAAGAACAATGTCTTCAACTAGTGGAGTAGGTTGCATGGGTGAACCTTTCAAAGAGTGCAACTTCGACGCTTGTTCACTCTTGGACCTTTGTTCACTTAGCTTCTTCTAAGGTTGATCAATGCTTTTAGGCTTCTCCACCCTCTTTCTCTTTGAAGTTTTGCTTCCATGCGAAATCTGAAATAGTTTGAGAAAGAATAAGTTTATAAGTTGAGAAATGAAGAAAATGGCTTTATTTTGATGAAATGGGCCCAAAAACTTTAGAACTTTACTTCTTTTATGTAATTTCAACTCACAATCACTTATAAGTATGCAATTATGATATGGTTTGAGAATGAATAAGTTTATAAGTTGAGAAATGAAGAAAATAGGCAAATGAGAAGCCATTTTGGCTCAAAATGGCTTTATTTTGATGAATGACCCAAAACCTTAGAACTTAGCTTCTTTTATGTAATTTCAAGTGACAATCACTTATAAATATGTAATTATGATATGTTATAAGAATGAATAAGTGTATAAGTTGAGTAATGAAGAAAATAGGCAAAGGAGTAGCCATTTCGGCTCAAATTGGCTTTATTTTGATGAAATGGGTCCAAAAACTTAGAACTTTGCTTCTTTTATGCAATTTCAACTCACAATACTTATAAATATGTAATTATGAGATTTTTTGAGAATGAATAAGTTTATAAGTTTAGAAATGAAGAAAATAGGCAAGTAAGTAGCCATTTCGGCTCAAAATGGCTTTATTTTGATGAAATGGGCCAAAAAACTTAGAACTTTGCTTCTTTTATGCAATTTCAACTCACAATCACTTATACATATGTAATTATGATATGGTTTGAGAATGAATAAGTTTGAAAGTTGAGAAATGAAGAAAATAGGCAAGTGAGAAGCCATTTTGGCTCAAAATGTCTTTATTTTGATGAATTGGACCCAAAACCTTAGAACATAGAAATTTTTATGTAATTTAAACTGACAACCACTTATAAATATGTAATTATGAGATGGTTTGATAATGAATAAGTTTATAAATTGAGAAATGAAGAAAATAGGCGAGTGAGAAGCCTTTTTGGCTCAAAATGGCTTTATTTTGATGAACTAGATCCAAAACCTTAGAACTTAGCTTCTTTCATGTAATTTCAACTGAAAACCACTTATAAATATGTAATTATGATATGGTTTAAGAATGAATAAGTTTATAAGTTGAGAAATGAAGAAAATAGGCATGTGAAAAGCCATTCCGTCGAGTTTTTTTTTTTTTTTTTAAAAAACAAAAGAAAATTGCTCTAATTTTTTTTTTTAAAAAAAATACGAAACTTCCGCCAAACCGGAAGACCCGAGGGAGCCGCCCCCGCTACCAGAACAGTAAAGACAGCCCACGCCGATGCCACAACAGCCCCGGCAGCCGCCTGCCAAGGTTGCAGCAGCCTCGGCAGGCGGCTGCCATGGCTGCTGCTGCCTGGCAGCAGCCATGGCAGCCACCTGCTGAGGCTGAAGCAACCCAGGCAGGGGCTGCCGTGGCTGCAGCAGCCCACGGATGCCACTGTCGAGGCTGCTGCACCCAGGCAGCCGCTACCGAGGCTGCTGCAGCTAAGGCAACCGGCTGTCGGGGCTGCTTCAGCCACTGCAGCCGCTCCCAAAGCTGAGTGATTCCAATGCCGGAGCAACCTCGGCAGCGGCTGCCTAGTCCGGAGCTGCCCGGGCAGTGGCTCCCGAGGTCTGAGCTGCCCAGGCAGCCGCTCCGGAGGCCGGAGCAGCGCAGGGAGCCCCAGCCGAGGTCGCCGCTGCCTCGACATCGGAGATAGGGGCCGGGGAGTCGTGCTATTTTGGCGGTTTTATTTTTAGAGTGCCTAACGATTATTTAACACTTAAAAAATTGATAATAAATAATTTACCTCCTTATTAATCAACTTGACCCATGCACGTGGCCAATCAACGAAGCTACCTATACCTTGCCAAAGCTTTGTTATCTCAACCTCCTCTATCGGTACGGGTAGTGGGATGTCTTCGAACCCCAGAACCACTGAATCAATCCTAACCGAGTAATGATGTGGCCTCGCCGTAGCACCCGTCGTCGCTTGAGCACTACCATACGCCACCCAACTCAACGCCATACTATTTGCATGCCCCGGGGCTAGAAGTGCACACCGGGTGTCTTCTTATACAAGTATATATATAAAAAGAAGATAGTTAAATAGGACTTTTACAGCAGCATAGATAATATAACAAAATTCATTAAGGTAGAAGGTTACAAATCACCTGTAACTCTGGATATTCATACGGTGTTGGATTATCAAGCTCCCTCGAGTCCACATGTGTAGGATTAGGAACCTGCAACAGTACATCAATCATTCCACCTCAGATCTCAATTAACTCAGTATTTTAAAACTTTTAATAACCCAATTGATTTTACCTTAGGTGGCACATCTTCACCACGTATCTCATCTCCTCCATGTCTATCACCTTCTCCTTGTCCTTTTGGTTGAGAACATGAGTCGACTGGGGTACTCGCAAGGAACTACAAAGTCGATAAGTTCATCTGCTTTGCCCAAGCATTGAATTCACCTACTAACTCGTTGCGTACTTGTTCCTTAATTGATGCCACCTTGGCATCCAACTCCCTCGGTGAGTTAACACTGGCTCGAGATCTACCCGATTTTGTGTATTATATACCCATCACCTTTTGCCATCCAAGCAATGACCCTCCCGAACCTACTACTCGTCCTGGATGGTATGGCCTTCCCAAAGCCATGGTGAAAGGGTCATTCTCCACACTTGGTTCAAATTTTCCCTCCACCAGCTCTTGAGTGTGCTCAAGCTATAGCAAAAGGAAAAATGAGGTCAGTAAGACAGTTAATGTTTGTATAGTTATTTAGATGCAAAAGTGACTTAAAATTCAACAGTTCATAGGAAACTTACAAGCTTATCTGCCATTTTTTTGGCTTCCGGACCCTTGATGACCCATTTTCCGGTTTCCTTATCAAACGTATGGAGAGAACAAAAGAAATCACCGGCACGACTCACCAAAGTAGGGATCGTGGAACTAGAGGGTTTATTCGATGCCACTAGAAGCGATTTAGGGTATAAACCCATATAGACCCACTCAGGTCTCTTTTCACCAAATGTCTTAGGCCCCATACGATGGACGTATTCCTTCATTTCTGCATTCTTTTTATTTTTCTCTCGAAGTTCCTACAAAACTAAAAATGTTAGTATCATTTCTAGAGAAAGAGTCAAACTATTATTCAATTGAGATCAGATTTACGCAAACTTACAATGGATTTCTTTTGAGTCTTCATTCTAATGAACTCTTCCCAGTCATCTTTTGACACGGTCGACCATATTTGCTCGGGAGAAGGTCATCCTCATCAGCTTTCTTCTTCTTTGATTTCTTCTTCTTCTTGTAGATCCAACCATTAGTCAAGTTGGTCTTAAAGCCTCTGAATCTTTCCTCTAATAAAGATTCAAACACCCTTCTCTTCTCGGGATCATTAGGAATAGAAAACAGCCTCTGCAAGCACAAATTAAAACCGATTATTAGTTTCTATTTTGTAACAACCATAAGGTTAAGGTTTCTTAAATTGTCTAAATGTGCCAAAAACACAATTACCCTTGTATCATCCCAAAATGTTTGAATCAAACCCGGAGGTACTTGCCGCATTACAAGTGTAATGGGGATTTTCCGCGCACACATGCCAACTTTATTAGCATATTGTCGACGCCATTTGGGTCCGGGTTGGCCGTTGTTGTCATACTCCAAGACCATGGGACCGTCCGGTTTCTTAAAGCTTCTCGTCGGACCCTTTCTTTTTCTTTGAGCAGGTGCCTTTACCCCCCCTCCACTACCTGTGTTGTTGTTTTGATCTTGTCCTTAGCCATAAGTTTCAGGAGTCGGGTTCTCACCAACAATCTCACGTGCTGTATTTTCAATAGGCGATGCACGTTCAGCTAAAATTTCAAATTCTTCAAGCCTACGCTCGAACTCATCTTGAGCATCATCCTCTGGCTCACCCAAGTCATCCTCCTTATTCACATCATAAGGCTCATCATCTTCCTCGTCCTCGTCATCATCCTCATACTCACCATCGTCAATCTCCTCTACACAATGAGGGTCATGATCGTCCGCCATGAGATATAAGCACATTTCAAAGCAATCACAAAACAATATTAGTGTATAGTAAAGTATATGCATGATAGTTAATACACAAAAAAAAGGAGTTGGGTTAAGTAGAAGCTATTTAAGCCATTTTCACCTACTTATGGTCCTATAACCTTGTATATGCATGATAATGAGTACACTTAGGCAATTTCAAACTACAAATATGTTAGTTTATGGTCATTTTCGCCTACTTATGCTCCTATATACATGATAACTAAACTATATTTGCAATGAAACCATTACTAACTTTTAATCAAACTACCTCAATCTGAAATTCCTTCATTGTGGTCTGATCGCATATAACCTGCTTCGTTGTCTATGTCATTTAGTACAACATGTCTAGGATTAGTGAAAGGTGTTGAATCATCAAACGCATCATATTCTTCCTCATCCTCAACATCTCCAATGCCTAGGATTCTTCTTTTGCCAGCTAGCATTATAGACCATTTTGAATCCATTGTGTCAGTTACGTAGAACACTTGCTTAGCTTGAGATGCAAGGATAAATGGTTCCGCACTATCATTCAAGTGGCCAAGATTTACAAGAGTAAAGTCCTCATATTTGACGTTACGCCTGATATTATCAACCCACTTACACTTGAAAAGAGCAACCGTGAAGTCCCAATAATCAAGCTCCCATATTTCTTGAATTCGACCATAGTATGACAACTCTACATCGACAGGTGATTTATCCTTAGAACTTGCAAACTCCCTTGACGATGCCACAAGCGTTACACCACTGTTTTGGGTGGAGGAAGATTTCAAATCACGACCCTCGGTCCAAAAAGTGTACCCACTAATGTCATATCCCTCAAATGAACGGACATCAACCCTAGGACCGTACGCAAGCCACCGTACTGTACCGATCACATTAGTATCATCCAATCCACTCATTACTCGATCACGAAACCAATTAACAAACCTCTTATTATGCAACTGCATAAGTGCCCTTTCACCTTTTGATGGAAATTCGTCACGCAAGCTAGCCATGTGCTCATCTAAATATGGGTGCACATCTGAAACATGGTGCAACACATAAAGGTGTGCTTGTAAGAACTGATCTCGGTCTGGTGACATTCTTTTCGACCCAATTGTGCCATAACCATCAAGTCTACCTTCATGTCGAGAAGTAGGAAGACCAATAGGTTGAGCAAGGGCTATGTAGTCCGCCACAAAGTTACCTATCTCCTCACCCATGGTCCCTTGCATCATACTTCCTTCAGGGTGAGCCTGGTTCCGTACTTTATCTTGTAATGTACCCATGTGTCTTTCAAAAGGGTAGCACCACCTCATGAACACTAGACCGCACAACTTAATCTCACGCACCAAATGAAGAATCGGATGAACCATTATGTCAAAAAATGAGGGTGGGAAATACATCTCAAATTTGCACAAAGTCACAACCACATCTGCTTGCAAAGCATCTAGTGTACAAGGATCAAGAACTTTGCTACAAATTGTTTTGAAAAACGAACAAAGGCTTGTAATTGCTTCCCTCACATGTTTCGGTAGAATACCACGGATTACAATCGGTAGGAATACTTGCATCATAATGTGACAATCATGGGATTTCATACTTGTCAGCTTCAATTCTCCATTTAAGGTTACAAATCTTTTCATGTTAGATGAGTACCCTGATGGAACCTTAATGTCGTACAGACATGCACAAAACATATGTTTCTCTACCCTTGACAATGTATAGCAAGTCGGGGGTAAATAATTCTTTCCATCCTTCCCTTTACCCTCAACTTTCTTCTTTGACGCATCTTTGGCCTTTCCCTTTCCCTTGCTCTTCTCCTTCCCTTTTTTCGAAACATTTTCATCTTCTAGTCTTGGTTCCTTCCCCTTTCTAAACTATTCTTGAGGCCACAATTCTGGACGAATCCCCATCTCTTTCAAATCTAATCGTGCACCCTTTTCGTCCTTTGTTTTGCCTTGAATATTCATAAGCGTTCCCAAAAGAGCATCACACACATTCTTCTCTATATGCATCACATCAAGACAATGCCTAACGTCTTGTTCTCTCTAGTACGGAAGCTTCCAAAAGATTGATTCTTTCTTAAACAGAGCAGCTAAGACCACAGTTTTTTCTGATTTTCCAAACGCCGTTCGTATCCCTTTCACCCGAGCACAAATCTCAGCACCAGTCAATGGTCTAGGCGCAGTATCCTCTTCCACGGTTCCATCGAAAGCCTTTTTCTGCCTACGGTACGGGTGATCACGCCTAAGGAATCTTCGAGTCCGTAGGTAGACATCTTTGTGAGAATGAGTAAGGTATTCGCTTGATGTGTCATCAATACATATGGGGCATGCTTTTTTCCCTTTGACCTTGTACACACACAAGTTGTCATATGCAGGGAAGTCATTCATGGTCCACATAAGGGCTGCACGCAATGTGAACATCTCGTTCTGATGAGCATCGAAAACGGAAACCCCTTCGTCCCACATCTTTCTCAGGTCGTCAATAAGCGGCGCAAGGTAAACATCGATGTCGTTTCCATGTTTCTTAGGACCAGTTATTAGCAATGAAAGCATTACATACTTACGTTTCATGCACAGCCAAGGAGGAAAATTATAAATCACTAAAAGTACCGGCCATGTGCTATGTTGGGTACTAAGAGTGCCAAATGGATTCATCCCGTCCGTGCACAACCCAAGCCTTAAATTTTTGACTTCATCACCAAATTAATCAAACTTCAAATCAATGTTCTTCCACTATAAAGAGTCAGCTGGATGATTCAGCATTCTGTTTTTCTTTCTTCCCTCTACATGCCACCTCAAGTTTTTAGCGTCTTTTCGTATTGAGAACAGACGCTTAAACCTTGGAATAATGGGAAGATACCACAACACTTTAGCAGGAGGTACCTCCATGCCAAGATTGCAACTCATGCGCTTGTAGCGCGACGGCTTGCATCGTGGACACTCCTGCAAATGTTCATACTCATTTTGATATAGAATAAAGTCATTAGGACATGCATGTATCTTCTTATACTCCAAAACAAAGAGACACATGAGCTTATTTGCGTAATAGTTAGACTTAGGAATTTCATTCCCATCAGGCAACATATCACTTAATGCGGTCAACAAAGAAGTAAAACTAATGTCCGTCCACCCATTTTTCGAGTTAATGTTGAAAAGTGTTAGCACGGCCGATAATTTGGAGTATTTTTTTGCACCCGGGATACAAAGGCTTTTTGGAAGCCTCCGATAATAACTCAAACACTCCACCTTCAACACCATGCAACATCTCATCCACTTGTTCATCCTCAACCTCATCCGCCTGATCATCATCGGCTCCATCCTCACCATTATCAACAATACAGTCATCATTCTCGTATTCCTCATCCACATGAATCTCATTGCTTCTAACACGCACATCATTCCGATCAAGATCCCCACTGTACTCTCCACTTTCTCCGTGCCTAATCCACACATGGTATAAATGTCTAAACCCACGACATAATACATGATCTATAATGATTTCAACATTATCGACCACATTCACATTATTACAATCAACACAAGGACAATAAAGGCCTTTGCCACCCAGTTTGCGTTGATAAGCTAAAGCCCTTTCGCAAAACTCTTGAACTCCATTCCAAAATTCCAATGTATCGCGTCTACCATACTTCCAACCACGATCCTTCTCCATTTAGTAAATTATCTCTAAACATATATAGCAACATATAATGAATAATGTGTAATTGCTACATATTTTATGTAAATCAAATTCAAGTACAAAACGTGAATATACCATTCATATAGTGAAAAAATGCATGTTTCCAAAGGGTCTTTATCACTCCAACCTAACCCATCCTTGAATGTCTACTCTCACTAGTGAATTTATGTCAACTTTCCAATTATAAGGAAAATCCGGCAGCATTTCCCCTTAGTTCTCCAAGTACACGATGTAGATAATTAAATACCCACATATGTACCCAGAGAACATAGTGAGGAAATGGTAAGCCAAGATGTTCCTTAAAATTGAAAAGAAAACATACATTCACCACCTAAGTGAGAGTACACATTCAAGAACAGTCCCAACCGGGGACTATTCAAGACTTTCTCCTAATGAGAAAGCCTTGAACGGGTATCTAGGCATATGATGATGCAAGTATTCTATATATTGTTATATTTATTTGCAATTAAACAATACACAAGTTGCAATTTCATGAATAAACTTTTTTAAAATGGATAAATAGAAAGAAATATAGCTAAGTAAAGTTTATAAGTCATACCAATATAGAAACTACCCACTTGAGCTCAATATGCAGTCCTCAAGGTAAACTCGTGCTTCAATTCACATATGAATCTATATATTAAAAAATCAAAAATTAGCAACGTCACTAATTCTCTAATATATTCACAATTCTCTAATGTATTCACAATTCTCTAATTTATTCACAACTAATTAGGTGGCAATATCACTATTTCTCTAATTTATGCACAATTCTCTAATTTAATCACAATTCTCTAAATTATTCACAATTCTCTAATGTAATCACAGTTCTCTAATTTATTCACAATTTTCTAATTTATTCACAACTAATTATTAACAAGGTCACTAATTCTCTAATATATTCACAATTACCCATTAAAACAACCTAAAATTACACATAATAACATACCAAAATTCAACTAATTAAGTAACATTTTTACTAATCTCTACTATATTCAAAAGTACTCATTAAATCAACCTTAAAATAACCCATTAAAACATACAAATTTTTCAACTAAGGAACAATGTAATGCAAAATTACTCTAATCTATAATATGTATTCAAAATTTCTAAATAAACAACCAATTCAAAAATTAAAAAAATTAGGGTAAAATTATATACATTCCTTGACTTTAATTTTCTTAACAATAATTGTTCAAAATGCTATTGAAAATAATAGAATTACATATTACAAAATATTTGTTCAATTTTTTAACAAAAAAATAAAAACTTACCCTAAACTAGTTGGAGGT